TTCTATACACACACACACACACACACACACACACACACACACACACACACACACACAGACGAATACTCACGAACTTGGTTAATAAACGTAAAACAACTATATTTTACAACTATCAGTTTAGAATAATTTTTCAACATGTACGAGGTTTCATTATTTAACGAATGATAAGAGTCTATAACAAACAAAGCAGTTTTTACTTGAATTATCTCACGTTATATTCTCAAAACTAAAATATATTTTGAAACAGTGTTATGTAACACCTAAAAATCAGTGCATTTAACTTGCATGACATACGTTTGTAATTTACGTTTCTAGAACTGGATAGTGTTACATTTAACGTACTGCTGAAATGTTTTTGTTACACCTAATGTTTTTTATAAATATTGAACAATTTAACATACAGTTTATAGTTTTCGTTCTATAGCTTTTTACATTCTGAGAAGGACGCAAAATCTCATATTTCAACGTGTCAACTATTATAACACAAAAATAAACGCTTTGGTAAATCATTTTTCTACGTTAGAGATGCAACTGATATCACATAGGTGTTCAACATCGCAATGTCAAGTAGGAAATACAATGTTGAATGTATGCGTCACGTGGTCACATGGGAAGGGTAGACAGAGAAAAAGAAGATACAGAAAGGAGAGAAAGGTCATTGCCATAAATGACAAAGTTCAGTTCTGAGTTGGCCAGGTCTATTTCACATAAAATAAAAGTCAATTATGATACAGTAGCAGAAATACTCGCCCCTCCGGGAAGGTATAACAGCTAGTTCCTGCGGAAGGATATTGGCCCTGTGGCCTTTTCTAAAATTGTCTGACAGTTCTACAACAATATACAATATAAATGTATTGAAATTTTAGTCTAAAAATGAGCTATCGTCACAGCATTACATCACTAAGTAGATTTTATTGAAGTAATTCTTTGTAGACCCAGTTACTAATGAAAGTGTCTTGCTTTTCTGTTGCAAATAATCTTTTTTAAGTTTGTTTTTGATTGTTTTATATTTGAAACTTACTCCTTTTTTGTAATATATATTGGTTAAATCTGAAACCTACAAATTTTTGTGGAAATTTCAATTGTTTTATTTATTGCTCAGCTATAAAAATACAGCCTAATTATAAAAAAATTACCCAGTTATGATTGGTGATCAATGCGGTAGTGTACGAGATCGGAGTTTTGGATGTATACGTTGCAAGTTCCATTATAATAAGATTGTCGCTATCTATGTATTTACATTATATATTTAATATTGAAAGTAAACTGCTCAAACTATACATAATCATATATTTTCTACATAAATTTAATGTTCACCATACTTTAACTAATTTTGTATGTCACTGAATTTAACAGTCAGTAAACAATAGTTCATTACATAGTGATACCAAACACTAAAGGTGTATTCTATTTCTCAATATTTGATGGGACATTTCAGTTAGTGTACAATTACTGCATACTTTCTACTCAGTATTGTGCCCGACATTGTCATAATTAATGAACACTGAGTGGTCACAAGTAAATAGACACCTAA